CTTGGCAGGATAAATCTCCCCAGACTTATCCAACAGCTGTGAACATTCAAAACCAACACAAGTCTCATTAGGTGTCCAGTTTTAGGGTCTTACACAGAAGTATACCACACAACATGAATCAAACATGTACTTCATTTATTTACATTAAATATCAAAAGTACATCAAAACTTATTGAAATTAAGGGCATACAAAAACTGTCCAACGACTTACTCCTACACACTATCTCCCAGCTAACTCTATGATATATTTAGATATATTTAAATGATAGAAGTTGATAGTAAAATAGTGAACGAATGAGCTGTCACAATTTTCTGAACGGTAATAATTGTGGTGAGCAAGATCATTCTAGGTGTGCTCGCCTGGATATTGATGAATCCTAGGTTGTGTTCACTGATAAATAGATACAAATCTAAAACAAAGCTATAGGCTATAACACAATAATCGAATAGACAAAAAATCTGTTTCATAAGAAAACGTGAAATTGTTGAATTGAAAATTGCAAGAAAAAAGCTGAAGTAGACCAAATCATCAACTACACTTATTAGTTAATTTAAATAGAGTGAATAACAAGAACCACCTAAGATGGAACTACAGGATACGTACAAGAAAAACAATAACCTGGACTGTTAGAGAAAAATATGCGGAGTACAAAATGAATATCTAATTACAGGTTTCCATGCATGTCAACCTATCAATTATATTTCTCTGCCTTGTAATTAACCTGCGGATTGCATATATCATCCCTACTCTGAATCAATCTTATTTCTAAACTACTTGATTGAGGATCAAAGCCCACGGTTTTGTAGTCATTGACTGTCCTGTATAACAGTGCCTGCACACATTAATAATGTTAAGGATGTGCTTGAAAGTAGTCATTGACCAGATTTTAACAACTCTCTTTCCTACAATTTAGGTTAGGTCCATCTTCCTAGCTATTAGCTAGAGCACAATAGAAAATACTAATGTTTTGATGTTAATTCAGTATTAACAATTTCAATATTGATTCAAGTGATCAAACATTGGCTATTTGACTGCAGTACCAATGATACAAAAAGTAAAAGCTACTTGAACAAGGCACTAATTTTAAGGTACTTGTATAACACTGAACAAAACAAACATTATATACATAATTTTTATTGGTTGTAACTAAATTAGGTATCATGAATCATGTTTAACAACAATGTTCGCAATGTTATCAAAATATCCAGGCTCACCTATGCAATAGAGCACAAGGACATAATTCAATAACTTGGTAAACATGAATAATATGTATTACAAAATTATACTCAAACATACTAAAATAGTTACATCATAATCATCTAAGCCTTGTCCAACTATATGGGGTCAGCTATACTACAATAAACTACATGCATAATTTATTTATATATCATACAGACTGTTATATATGTTTATTAGTCAAAAGGCCTTCTAAACTGCCTACTGACAAGCCTTTCTGATGCCTTGGTCAACAAAAAGACAAGTGAAGGAGAGGAAATAAGAGCAGTAATTTCACAAGGCATACCTGTAAGCTTGATACTGCAAGTTCTGAGGCTCTGTCAAGATTGTCAGGATATTTCTAGAAAGAAAATTGCAATTGGAGTAAGTCTTGCAAGGAAAAAAATCAAGATAGATGATAACACTTAGAGAAAAGATTAATCTAGCAAGGAAATAAAAGGGGCCTTACATTACTCCATCCCAGTAATAGGGCAGTTGTTAGATCTCCTGTACCCTAAGCATATTCAGCCATGAACATCAGTGTGGAGCTATATATACTGTATGCCAGATTATATATAAATAAAGAACATATTGAGAAAACATCTGATCTAGGAGCACATCTAATAACTAGATCATTTATACAAGACATAATAAAGCAATAACTGAACTCAAACATAGTTATCAAGGCAATGCCTAGACAGGTGCCTAAGTGATGAGGTATTTTTTGGGAATCAACTTGTACCTAGCCTAGCTTTAGAATTTCCGTATATAAGGATCACCTCCCTTTTCTCTCTTGAACTTGAAGTAGAATTGGAGTAAGCTAGCAAGTGTTGTTGATTGCAATTCTCATGTATGTTGATAAGACAAAATAGAGGTCCCATGCTTCGTAAACACTAGTATTTATAGCCTAAGGTTAGGGATGCCACCTAAACTCACTTGCTAACCAAATGCTTTTAAGTGGGGTGTTAGGATTAATTCACAAACATGCTCTGTTGTGTAGGAGTTAGTAGTTTTGTGGCGGGGCCTACTCTATTATAATAGAGTATAGGCCTAATTGGACTTGGTACACTTGGACTTCTAGGCCATGGGTCATATCAACTCAGACACAGGCCTTGGACTTTTGGAGGCCAACATTAATTTTAGAGGTTTGTTTTGCAAAACTAAGCCCATCTCATGGCTTGTAATTTTTAATATTGACAAAAATATAGAGAACTTTAGATTTTAGGTGGCTGATAAGGTCTTGGATGTTAGGTCTTAAGTATTGGATCCCTCCCCTTTCTTTTTCGTTAGTATCCAGCTTTTTTCTTGGACTTATGTAGGAGCTCTAAATCCCTACTTTTTCAATGGTATTTCTGGATCTTTGATGCTGGAATTTGGATTACCTCTTTCCAGAATTTCAAGTGATATTTGGGTTAAAGTCCTATATTGAATATCTCAATCAGTGGCAGATTATATATTGGTGCCTTATGGATTTCTTTGCCATCTATCTAATGTATCCTTGTCTTTTTATCCAAGGATATTGCTTTTATTTTGTGATTTTTTCTTTTCAACAAATTAATAATCAGAGAAAACATTAAACAACATACCGTAAAATATGCAGGGATTTTGGGTATCACAATCCTGAATTGCTCTGGAGGCTGACCCTGTAATGATCAGGGATTGAAAGCACAATATTATGAGGGCAATTAAAAAAAAATCTGCTCCTCATATGATGAAGTACATTTTTTATCATTAAAGATCAGAAATACTTTCATTATATTTTATAATAATAGTACGTCAGTGCAGAAGAAAAGCTAATTTTGGTACTCTCCCTTAATATTACAAGTAGCAATCTAGCTCCCTCAACCTTGACAGCATAAGGTTAGGCCAAATAAGGAAGTGCATCAAAATCAGAAATGATCATCACATGATAGAACAATTTCAAAATAGATATTAACATAAGATACTCTCATTTTTAGAGGTTATTGGGGCACAATTTTCAAACATTCATAATTGAAGAGTTTGAAAATTGCAGTTAATGGTTAATATGAGACCAAAATAAATCAAGGATGTGTTTAGTTTACTTTCATTTACATTTTTTCTGGTAATAAAATAAAAATTTATTAAATAGAAAAAGACAATGATACAAGGAAGGTAACCAGGGATCACCCAAGAGAAAAAAGAGAAAATTCACCCAACCCACCCCTCCTCCTTAGCAGAAAACAATCAACCCAGAGAAACAACAAAAGTTCAATTTAAAATAAATATCATACTCAAGGCCCAAAGCTTGATTCTACTTGCACCATAACTACTTCCTATACACTTATAAACAAATAAACCCTTGAAAGCTTTCCAGAACAGAGGACTAATCTCCTAGTTAAGTGATGACCATAATTAGTGAAGCAAGACAAACTTGATCTTAGGATATAAAAATAAAAACCATCAAGTTACAGTTCATGACGATTTTAACGACTCCAAAAGAAATTTTCTAGAAAAATTTTATTACTAACTATTCATGAAAAAACTCTAGGCTTCTTTTCTCCTGGAGATCCCCGTAAACTAGTTTTCCAAGATTAGTCAAACTTTGATGTAATAATATTACTTATCCAACAAAAAGTTTACCTTTTCTTTTTGATGGCTACCAATAAGTAGGAGATTATCCTCTATGTGCACACTGGTTATCACGACCTGGAATATGTACATTCTTCAGCAAGTAATATAAATAAAACAAGTGATACTGACTAAAAGAATATAACCTGAATGGAAAATTCATCTTCTGTACAGAAAGCAAATTAAAGTACAGCTAGCTCATAGACCAAGCTATTCATTGTTATCATGCATAAAGAGACAATTACCCAATGTCAGTTCCAGCTATCTGGAATTCACATCTGCGCTCCACACAGCGCGCCCCAAAAATGCTCCACAGCACATCCCAACTGCGTATTTGGAACATCTCCCAATGACAAATATGGGAGATGTTCCCAATGCACGCTGAGATGTGCTGTGGGGCGTTTTTGGGGAGTGCTCTGTGGGGCACAGATGTGAACTCAGCTATCTGGGGTCTTAGGAGGGGTGGACAGAATAAAGACCTAATGTTTGGCACTTTTTTTGCACACAGTGGCCGGTGGGGGAAGGAGATGGTGTAGGTGTGGTGGTGAGAAACGAGGATGGGAACATCTTGGCACTTTTCTCAGGACCAGTGGGGGAAGGAGACCAGGGCAGAACTGCTTGCTGCATTACAAGGAATTCAGATTGCTCACCAACTTAGCTTGGTAAATTTGATAATAGAAGGAGATTCCAAGGTGGTGGTGGGATGGCTGCAAAACCTGGATTCTATTCCCTGGTATTATAGAAATGAAATCAAGAAATTTAAATGGTATACAAGGGATGAATGTAAGAGTACACTGGGTCAGAAGATCAGAAAATTCTTTGGCTGATTGTCTTGCTAAACAAGGGACAAACAAGGATACAATTTTTTTTTTTATTCTAGATTTGGGGGAGGTCACAACTCAACTCACACCTCTCAAAGGGATTCTTGTACTGATTTAAGCTCTTGATATTAATAAAGTATTAATCATTTATCAAGAAAAAGGACTCAGACTGGACTGACCGGTTGGACCACCAGTCCCAAGAACCAGTAGGCCAATTTGGTTTTTTAATACCCTGGTTCAGTGTTGAATTGGTAAAAATCCACATAACCGTTGAAAATCAGACAGGTTTCAACAAAACTGGTTGGTTTTCATCGCCTGCCCAGGTCACTAAATTGTTAACATATCTAAAATGTCAATACAAGGATTTGAACTTGAAACCTCTTAGTCATGAGTAGATATGCCACCATTAGTCCGGTAAATATGTATATATTTTGAATAAAAAGTAGATTGCAAGACTTGAACCCTGGGCAATTGTATCAAAAACACATGATCTAACCATCTGGCTGCTTGTTAGACATGTGATATAATTCACAAACAATAGTACTTATATTATTCTTTTACCCGCAATCGAACCATTCGACTTGTGACCCAGCAGCCTTTCCGTCTTTGTGTCCGGTCCAAGTCTTACAACATTGGTACCACCAACACAGTTGAAAGTGAAATCTGGCCTCCACTTAAAGAGAGGGAGGACATATAGGTTATCTAGAATGAGACTAATGGACCTTTAGGTTGGCCCATTTGGGTTTTAACTCAACCCTAAATGAACCTCTCTTGTAGAGAAGGATTATTCTGTTTTTTAGAGTAATGGACCTTTAAGTTGGCACACTTGGGATTTTAAGTTAACCCTAAATGAGCCCTCTCTTGAAGAGAAGGATTATTCTGTTTTTTAGAGTAATGGACCTTTAAGTTGGCCCACTTAGGTCTTTTAGATTATTCTGTTTTATGAAAAGAAAAGGCCTGTTAGCTGGTCCATTAGGTTAACAAGGCCCATTGAATTAATAATGCTTATTATGTGTCCCTAAACAAAAAGAAATATGGGTCTTAAAATAATCCCAGCAATTATCCAAAAAAGGAATAAGATGCAACCTGGTGTATGCCAACAAGGTGACTGTAACCCCGTTTCTAAAACATACTTGATCATAAAAAAAAATAACAATTCAGAATCAAATTCTGTTTCAACAAGTGCTAATCTTGATGTAGTGCAATTTTAGGGTTTAAAACTTGCCATCAAATCATGCAACTAAATCTCAATCACTTTTCTAAAATCTTGGCCAAGAGGACCAAGTGAAAATAGGGAAACTCAACCTAACCTGCAGAAGTAAATCAGCCCTCTAAAACTGATATAAACTTGATTAAAAATAGAGAAGAAAGTGGAAGAAAGGTAGAAGACGGCAGAACAGAAGAAGAAGATGGAGAAAAGAAGAGGAAGAAGAAGAAGAGTTCGATAATCTCCTCTCTCCCCTCACTAATCCTTTTGTTAATATTCATTTTCTAAGTTAATTACAAGTATGCCCTTAAGTGGGCAACCAGCTAAGTAAGAACTTAAAATAAACTTATAAAAAGAAGTAACAGGCCCATTAACAAACAAAATAAATAACATACTACATAAATAAAAGAATAGATACTAGGGCCCATTCGGCCCAATCTCTCTACATTCCCCCTCAAGCTAAGCATAGATGTCAATCATGCCCAGCTTGCTTATATAGTGTGTCAGCTTCCCTCTTGGAACACCCTTGGTTAAAACATCATCCAACTGCTCTTATGAAGAGATAAATGGCAAGCAAACTTCCCCTGAAGCAACTCTTTCCCATATAAAATGTCTATCAACCTCTATGTGCTTAGTTCTGTCATGTTGAACAAGATTATGCGCAATGTTGACAGCTGCCTGTTTGTCATAGTAGAGCATCATTGGCTTTTCATAGTCAACTCCCAACTCTTCTAAAAGTGATCGCAGCCACAGTAATTCTGACACTCCATGTGCCATTGCCCTCTACTCTGCTTCAGCAGAGGATTTGGCAACTACTGGTTGTTTCTTACTCCTCCATGAGACAATGTTCCCTACCACCAAAGCACAATATCCCAAGGTGGATCTCCTATCATCAATACATCCAGCCCAATCAGCATCAGTGTATGTTGCGTGTGTTCATGCTTGGAAAATAGAATACCTTTCCCTGGAGTACCTTTCAAGTAACACAAAACTCTTTCTACAGTAGCTAAATGTGTATCTCTAGGAGAATGCATAAACTGACTAATAACACTCACTACATAGGAAATATCTAGCCAAGTCATGTAGAGATATAACAACTTCCCAAGTAGTCTCTGAAACACTCCCCTATCAGGCAAAAGTTCACCATCAGTAGTAGAAAGCTTATGATTGGGATCTATAGGGGTGGAAGCTGGTTTAGTACCAAGTTTACTAGTCTCTGCAAGGAGGTCAAGAACATACTTGCATTGAGAAACGAAGATACCATCCTTAGACCTAGCAACTTCAATTCCCAAGAAATACCTGAGATCTAAATCCTTGATCTCAAATTCAGAGTTAGGAAATCTTTTGAGTTTACTCACCTCCTGGGTGTCATTACCCGTGACCACAATGTCATCAACATAAACAATTAGAAAAGTCACTAAAGAGTTACTTCGTTTTAGAAACAAAGTATGGTCATATTGAGTGTTAGAGTGAGCCGAATAGGGGTAGTTTAGTAATCTCATGTCAGTTAAGTACTTTGCTTATGTGGCTGTTTTATTAGAGCACTCTGCCCCACACTTAAGTGTGGGCAGTTTAGTCTTTGTAAGTGTAATTAGAACCTAATAAACATAAGGGGGTCGACTGA